TCCTAACTTAGCTTTTTTGACTTAGCTAAGTTAGAGACTGACATAGCTTTTTGTCCCTGTTATTCAAAGAGTGTTAACTGTGTTCAGGGTGTTTGGGATCAAAATAAAGGTTGGCAGCAGAAGTTAATATAATTCTATTAATAGTATTCTAGAACTTTCTGAGGACAAATGTCATTCTTGAGCTAAATACAAGGTTTGCATTTTTGCATTTTCCTTCTTTTTTGATAGCGGCTTTCAAAGAGGTAATCTCTCATTATCCTTTTGTTTCTCTTCTCTCCTAAGTTCTTGAGTGAGTTTGCTTCTAGGGTATTTATGATACAAATACCCGATACTCTTGCTACCCTCCTTTCGGGAGCAGCAAAAATGCTGTGACGATTTAGAAGATGATAATATTTAAAGAAAGAGACAGGAACATATATTTGTTATAAGCTTATCTTTTTTTTCATTTTTAGAGTTGAAGCTTATGAGTTTATCTATGCCCACTATATTCATAATTACAATTTAATATCTGCATACAAAAGCTATGTAAAAATCCATTTTTCCCAAATATACAAATTTTCTTTTTGGATAGTTCAAAACATTTTGATCACAGATTTCAACAGGTTTAGGCTGAAAAAAATATCACCAATCTAGCAATATCACTTAACACTGTTTGCAAAACACAAATCTTCCTATAACTGTAAATAGTTTCCTATTCTCTAGTATTCTTCTGATTCTCAGGGCATGAAAACATTGATGGTGGTTGTGTGTGTGTGTGTGTGTGTGTGTGTGTGTGTGTGTGTGTGTGTGGTGGGGAGGGTAATACGTGTTTTCTCTGAAGAAAGCCTGGTGAACTAATTTGGTTCTAGAATCAAATGAAAAATGCCAAGTTAATTAGGGAGAACCCAAATGAAAGAAGTGGTATCACATCAGCCCATTCATGCCCTGACAGGTTCTATATCAACAATACATGCATAATTAAATAAAGTGTCTTCTTTTTCTTCCATTGTGCTCCGTAATTTACATGAGTATTCTCTGCATCCTGAGGACAGAATTTTATTTGATTGTCTTGTGCATAAGGTGGGTCAGCTTTAACTGTGCAACAGAAAGCCACAGACAGCATTTTACCTGCATGATATTGCTCTTAATTCATGTGGGAAACACTAGGAATGCACGCATTTTGCATTTGCAAACATTTATACAGCACAGTAAAAATTCTGTGATAAGGCCAAACCTTTTCCCCCCAGTATGTTATTTGTGTGTTTTAAATGTTTCATGTTTTTTTTAAAGATTAAAGTAAAATGTTTCAAGTGTAAAAAATACACACCGGGCAAATCCTTACCTGGATAATAAATATCTACATCACAGTACAATAAAATTTCTTTTCTATAAAATTTAAATATGGATTATAGTCTATCACTACCAAAAGAAACACTATGCTAGTATTTCCATATTATTAAAACAACAGGAAAAATTACAAGCTTATTTGAGAACCTGATGCTATGACCAGTGGAAAGGGCAACGAGATCTGAATGACGGTAAGCATTCACTCTCCTTTTGAAGAGAACAGTGGCTGGGGTTATTCAATTGATGAAAAAGGATTAGCCTTATAAACGCTGGCTACATTTCAAAAACCATAGGACTGGTTGATAATTTATGACTCATGCAGCAAAAGGTCAATAGGACATGAATAGGTTAGAGCTCCATAGAATCAAAATGTATCACTGACAATGACATGCTCTAAGGGCACTCAGCAATTCCTGGAGATGCTGAGTGTGGAGGAGGGGGTGTAGAGTGGGTAGGAGTTTAGTGTTGAGAAGAGGTCCAGGCTCCCACACCTGTTCAGGGCCTAGAATGGCCTTGCTGGAGTAGAGCTGGGCCTGGCGGGCCACCCTGATGCCTGAGCTGCAGACAGAAGAGGTGTCCCTTGAGGCAGGTGAGGCGATATCACCAGACTGAGGCATCAACACGCATCAACACAAGCGCATTATCGAGGACCAAGGCTCATTGGACTAGAAAAAGCTCGGAAGGTGGCACGTGGTGTTTTGAGCAGATTCATAAGGAAGAAAAGATCTTACTGTGTTTTTTTGTTTGTTTGTTTGATTTCTAAAACTATTTCTGGAAATACTGCACATTTAAATTGAAGAGCAAAGTACACTTGAAGGTCACACACAGATACACGTAGACACGCATACTCACACCACTCATCCCTAAAAGTGAAGTGATATATAAATAAGAATCCCAGTTTATAACAGGTATGTTCTCCTCTATTCTGGGATGTTGCCCCACAGAGGGCAGTTTCAATCAGATCTTCACTTAATTTGAAAGTTCAGACAATATCAGAAAAAACATTAAAAAAATCCAGAGCAAATCCCTTCTAATCTGAGTGTTATGAGATGGAGTCTTGAGATGTACTAAATATCCAATCACTTACAGAAGGAATGAGTTTAGTCACTTTGACCACTGGGTTCATGATCCTTTGAGCCCTTTGAGCCTTTCCTTTCACATGAAGTACTTTAAGGCTTGTTTTCCTCCCTATGAAGTAGTCAGTCTTCAGTAAGATTTTTTCCAGTCTGGGTTTCCCTGTTTAAGGCAGTACTTTGAGGAATCTTGGTTCATCCCGAAGTTTTCTTGGGACTGGCTGACTGGGTGTAGATAAACTGTACTGTTTGGCCGATGCCCAACTATATGGCTAATCACCAAAGCTATCTTATTTAGCTGTAGATAGGCTCTGGAATTACAGTGGAATATGTGTGCGTCTGAAGTACCAGGAATCTTTGTCAAACACATCAGGAGAATTTTTTTTGGGAAGGCTTGATACCCCCAAGAGTCTATGAGCCCTTCCAGTATCCTGCCAACTTGCCATCCTTGCATTCCCTTCTGAAGAAAACCAGCCTCGCATAACAGAGTGAATGTGGGATTAAGCCTTTTATGTCTCAGAGTCATTTCCCAAGGAGAGTTAACAGAAGATGCTGAGATTAATAACTCAGCAAAGCAAAGATTTAAGGAGACATCTAAAAGTCTGCCTCCGGTAAACGAAACCAAAAACAGAAAAAAAAAAACCCTATCTGTTCAGGAATGGCATGCCTATCATTTTCATCTCTTCACCCACTTCCTTTCTCTGGTTAGCCAGTTCCATAATGATGACCTTGATTTCCTTTCCCCAGAAGCCAGTCCAATAACTTTAGCATATTAAGCAGATAAATTTCCTCCTGGATTATTTCCAGTTACATTTGGGCTTTTCCATGGTCATTCTCTGCCTTCCTTGAAATAGTTGACTAGCTTAAGTCAAATTGTTATTATGATGCAATGTCAAATATATTTTCATTAACTATGAAGCAGGTCATCATTTTTGTCTAATAAAATTAGAAATTTGAATATGAAAAAACTCAGAAGAACCAGATTCTTTTCCCTGAAATTCATACAATATAAAAGATTGGGAGGGTTTTAGAGTTCATGACCTATTCACGAGGTTAGAAAACCAAGACTCAGTCAAAAATCTATCATTTGATAGAACATAAACTTAAAATCAGATATCCTGACTTCTGAGTTGGTTATGCTCCACCAAACTTAAAAAAATTTAGTTCACTTGGTTTTCACAGTGTATTTCCATTTCTTTGTGTTTTAGGTAAATACCACTGATATGGCTTATTTCCCTCAATAGTTCTAGGGTAAGGCAGTACAAGGCAGGCAAAAGAATAATTTATGTCTACTATGCCAGTGAAGAACAAGATACATTCAATTGCATGGGTACATTCTTTGCCCATTTCCTGGCAATGAGGTCTCACCATTGGTTTTCTGTGTGCAAGCTACTCTAACGTTTGTCATTGGGGAAGCCAGGTGAGGCAAGAAAGGTGAGTGAGGATTTGTGTCACTGTTTGCAGGTATTTTCTCTGGAATATCTGCCTGGGGAATGCTAAAAGAGGAACGATAGGTTCAGCAGCCAGACCAGTCTTTGTTTAGTGACAGTCAAGCCTCAGGCATAGAGGGAAAGGGGGAAGAGGCAACATTTATGAGCTTTAGAATCTAAGAAGGGAACATCCTTAAACCATCATTATTTGAAGAGAGCTCTTGGAAAATGGCACTTCCTTCAACTTGGAATGTAATGACACTAATCTTGCCTCTAGAACAAGACTTAAATTGCAGCTTTTTCCCTCCATGATAAAAAAGATTTAATCCACAGGGAAATCTGTTTGTCAGCTCAATGGAGATGCAATCAGGATAAACAACTTCAGGAAATTTGGGAGGTGATGGAGCAGATGTCATTGAAAAGTGACAACCCTCTGTAAATAGGATTGATTTCTGTGGAAATTTTCTCTATGCCTGAACTGTAAAGAAGCCTTCCTACTATGAAGTAATACTATGTGAACTGTGGGAAACTGTTGAATCACTGACACTCATGAAGATTTCTAATTTCTTGGGGCTCACTCATGAAAATCTTTCTTCCGCTTGGCCTCAAGTCAGTCAAAAATCTGCACGTATTTGAGTCATACTGTTGGACAACTTGAATTAAATCAGAGAATTACAAATATGACAGTGAAGGGACATCTTAGTTTCTGTGAAAAATACTTCTGTACCTTCCATGCTAGGCATTAGGAGAGAATGAAACGTGTTGAACACAGCACCTTTTTTTAGGTGAAAATATGTTCAAACCTTCCCCTAAAAAGCTGAAAGCTACCCCTTACCCTGCAAAACATCAGGAATGGATCAATAGGATCATCTCATCTCAGTTTTAAGGCATTTCTCACCTTCTGCGGTGCCATCTTATTTGCTTGAGCCTCTGACCAGGGACAGATGGGAGCTGGTGATGATTTGGTGCTGGTGAATGAATGATTGTCCCCACCCCACCTCAACAACTGCAAAAACCTTCAAAGCATTCACATCAAAAGGACTGGAGAACAAACAAAAATGCAACAGTTAAAAGTACCCGAATTCAAGGGGCAATTTCATCCATGTCTGTGTTCAGGATGACCTCCCATTTCTCCACCCCTCCCCCCTCCCTCCCACCCCATCAATCCCTCACAACACAAAGAAACAAAAGAACAAACAGAGAAGAGTGAGGCAATGGAATGAAATGGTGCCCAACGGCAGCGCTGTAGGAATTGTGAGAAATGAGTTGGGCCTGTCTAATCCTCGAAGACTTCCAGGAACAAAGGGGGGAAGAGTTCCGTGGGGCACTCCACCTTCATGTGCAGGAAGCGGCTGGCATGGCAGGCTCCAATCATCCGCAGGTCCGTCACCTTCATCAGGAGCTTTGGCCAAAAGTGTGTTACGTGGTGTTTCCGATAATTAATATAGTGTTCAAAAGCCAGCAGGAAACTATCTTGGTATTTTTCTATTCTCTCAACACAGGCGAGCCCTGGGCGGTCTGGGGATGTGGGGAGGAAAGAAGAAGGATGTTAATTAAAAAAATTTTTTTAGGGGGGGTTGAGGTTCTGTGATTTACAGTACTGTTAATGACATTTTTCCATGTACATAATTCCAACACCTTTCACCAGTGTACCTAACCAGCTGTCCCCCCCACCCCCCTTAACTCCCTGCCAAGAGTTCCAATTACCCTCCTTTCCAATCTTCCCCTGATTCAATAGAGTGAATCAGCTCTCCCATTGTGCTGCCTTGGGCCCTTTATTGCTCTCTTGTGTAGCTTTCAGTCCCACATATGAGAGAGATCATTCTGTACCAATCTCTTTCCTTCTGACTGACTTCACTCAGCATGATACTCTCTAGTTTTATCCAGGTCACAGCATGATTTTGTTCTTTCTTAGAGATGCATGGTATTTCATTGTGTATGTAAAGATCATTTGGGGCTGGAGCGATAGCACAGCGGGTAGGGCGTTTGCCTTACAAGCGGCCAACATGGCCGACCCGCCCCTCTCGGAGAGCCCGGCAAGCTACCGAGAGTATTCGATATGCCAGACACAGTAACAACAAAGTCTCCAATGGAGACGTTACTGGGCCCTCTGGAGCAAATCAACGATCAACGGGAGGGCTATTACCATGTAAAGATCAACTTCTTGATCCGTTCACCTGTAATTGGGCATTTGGGTTGTTTCTGTATCTTGGCTCTAGTACTAAGTGATGAACTAAGTACTAAGTGTGCATGTATCCTTCTGAATTAATGTTTTGTATTCTGGAGCTAGATGCAAAAAAGTGGCATTGCTGGATCATATGAGTGTTTTATTTCTATTTTTCAGAGCTCTCCATATTACATTCCAGAGTGACTAAACCAGATACCATTCCCATCAATGGTGGATGAAGGTTTCTTACTCACCACAACTCTGCCAACACTGTTTCTAGACTTTTTTAAATGTGTCATTCTCACAGGAGTGAGACAATGTTGTTTTGATTTGTATTTCCTAACCATGAATGATGATGAATACTTTTCATATGCTTGTTTGCCACCTGTATATCTTCTTTGAGAAGGTGTTCAACTCCTAGCACCATTTTGGATGGGGCCATTAGATATTTTTTGTCGTTGAGTTTTGTGAGCACTTTATAGATCAAGGATATCAATACATTTTTGTATTGTGTACTTTTATTGTATCGTGTGCAAATATTTTTTGTATTGTGTACTTTTATTATGCTAATATTTCTTCCAATATTTCTTTCATTAAATAGATGGACAGATGTTAATTTGAAGGTGAAAAGATGGCTGACTTTGTCTAGTTCAGGGTCTAAAGTGTGAAATGGGCCAAACTGGGGATGTTTTAATATACAGGAAGGAGAATGGGTGCATGAACTCTGAGGAATCAGTTCCATGATAAGGGAGGGGTGTTAGAGATAAGGGGAGTCAATAAATATCTCTGGTGAAGAAAATTGGTTCCTTAGGTCTGAATCGTGAGGACTCTTTCCAAAAAGAACAGAAGGAGAAGCCTCATCTGGAACGTTGAAATATTCAGCACAAGAAGAAGAAATAGATGTAGCTGATCTCGTGGAGGTTACCTTTGGCTCAAGGTGTCATGTAGTGTTGGGGCTCAAACTCAGGCCTTGCACATCCAAGGAGTGTGCTCAGTCACTGAATCACATCCCCAACACCCTTCCCCCCATCTTTCCAGGAGAAATAATTTGAGTTTCCACTGGCTTCCTGGAAGAAAGGGGAAGACAAACATGTCTAGAAGAGAGGAAAGAGATAAGAGAGATTGGGAAAATCTCAGGCCATGTAAGCAAGGGATCTCAAGGAAGCTTCAAAGAATGACAAAGTGAGATCATGAGAAGATTGAATGTCTGCAAAGCATCCAGGCTACAAATGCTTGGGATACAAGAGTTATGGACAAACTGCATTGAATTTCTCACGTTGCTCCAGGAAGCCCTACCATCTCTCTGTCAGGTTTTCTTGGGTTTGCTCTTAGTGATTCTTATCAAATAAAGTCACACTTCTAGTGTCCTGTTTTTTTAAAATTATTCTAGGTAATATACAATACTTAAGCCACTGTTTAGATTCACCCCATTAATCTTGTTACATAAAAAAATAACAAAAAATAATTATGCTTGAAAAATGCATGAAGGGATCTGTCAAATGTTCATTTATCAAAATTTCTGTATTAATAAAAGTCTAAAGTGGGTTCTCCAATGATGGCCACTTAATACCTGCACTGCAGAACACAATACCCTAAAGGAGAGAGCGAGTGAAAAGGGAATCTGCCTGCCACAGAGGCAGGGGTGGGGGAGATGGGGGGGATGTGGGAGAGATACTGGGAACATTGGTGATGGAGAATGGACACTGGTGGAGGAATGGGTACTCGATCATTGTATGACTGAAACATAAGCACAAAAGTTTGTAAGTCTGTAACTGTATCTCACAGTGATTCATGAAACCAAGTAAAGGATGTTGGGAGGACCTATTTGGGTTGAAAGATGCATGCTGAAAGTAGACTACAGACCGAATATGATGGCCGCTCAATACCTCTACTGCAAACCACAACACCCCAAAGGAGAGAGAGAGCAAAAGGGAATGCTCTGCCACAGAGGTGGGGCGGTGTGGTGGGGGATGGGTTGAGGGTCGTGGGAGGGATACTGGGTCCATTGGTGGTGGAAAATAGGCGCTGGTGGAAGGATGGGTACTCGACCATTGTATGACTGAAATGCAAGCACAAAAGTTTGTAAGTCTGTAACTGCTGTAACTGTACCTCACAGTGATTCATTAATAAAAATATTTAATAAAAAAACAATAAAAGATAAAATTTTTTTTAAAAAATGGGTTCTCCTTTATCTTCAAGGAGGGAGCAGGATTCATGTCCTAATTCAGCCCTCTGAATTTAAATAAAATATTTAGGTCTTTAAAACCTTCTGCTTAGCTCAAATGGTCATTTGTTCATTTTCCTTTTGTGTTTTCTTTCCTACTGGATGCTGCCACTTTGTGCATCTACTTCCTCTTTCCCCCTCTCCTCTGAGTCCTTTGTCTTTCTTAGAAGTTACCAGAAGGATTCTTTAGCTTTGGGTCTAAATAGACAAACAAAACAAGATTGCTCTGAATATATTCCTTTGAAGGAAAAAAAATATCCTGGGTTTTGTGACATCAGAACTCTGTCCTTTGATTGGAGATAAAGATTAGGTGGCCATATACATGATAAGGAAGGTAACAAACATTTTGGTGATATCTATGGTGTATCAAACATGTTTACTGAGGAGAGAAATATTTTAAAGGTCAAAGGCTATTTTTAACTTCTTAAGACAAAACTTCTTTCTGCTGATCACTGCAGGATCAAGGTCCTGAGAAGCTCTGAAAAAGGCTTTGAAGAAGAGGCTTAAGAGATTGAGTGAAGTGCCAAACAAAATAGTGGGTCTTAGAAGACAACACGGTGAAGGAATTGCAGCCTAAAGCATTGGAATATAGCTATCATTTGCCAAATGTAAAGTGGTCTGTGTTATTTTTCTGGTCCTGGCAGTCTTAATGGAAAGTCTCCAGAGCATTCGTGTGGAGAGGGCTTGAAAGTTACTGAGTGTGTCTCAGGGTGGTCAGGCAGTGAGTAGTCCAAGAATCAGAGAATTGGGAAGACTCACTCAGCTTGCAATCTCCATAGACGCCCTCTGTCTAGCTCCCGGATCTGATTTATATAATAATCTGTTGACTTGATGACGCGCTACAGAGGAAACATCACATTATTCAGTAAATAAAAGTCCATTTACCATGAAGAGATGGTAAATGGATGCATGGCAAACACCTTAAACACATTTTAGTTCAAGTTTCTTGCTGCAGAATCTGCCTGAGATTTGCTTTCTGTTAGAAGGCTGGGATCTACAAGACAGCTGAACACCCCCCGAAACTCTGCTTGCCACAGGAAGGCAATGGAAACAGAGAGAAAATTAGAAAATTGTGTGAAGCTATCTTTGTGCCACAGAGATCTCAGCTTAAAAATTACCTTGAGAGACTGGGACACAGAGAGAGTAGGGCAATGCCTCACATGTTCCTGACCTGGGATCTACTCTTGGCATCACGTGGTCTCCTGCATATCAGTGAGTACAGGCCCCCAGCACCACCAGGTGGCCTGGGTACACCCAGAAGCACAGGGCCCAAGCAATATTGCATCCTCAGACCCTGGAACTGAACTGCTAGTCTGACCACCTGAGAATCATTGGTGGGGTCCGTGGTCATTCTGAGCACATTGTGAGTGTCTATCCCCAAATTACCTTGAATATTCCCTCCAGAAATATAACTTTTCAGTTCAATTGATTTATTTATATTATTTTATTATTTTTCACTTTTGGGGTCACACTGGCTGATGCACAGGGGTTACTCCTGATTCTGCACTTAGGAATTAGGTGCAGTCCTGGCAGTGCTTGGGGACCATATGGGATGCTGGGGATCGAACCTGGGTTGACCTTGTGCAAGGCAAATGCTCTCCTCGCTGTACTATTTCTTCAGTCCCTCTATTTATTTTTTTTTTAAAAAAAACAAAGTCCAGAGAGGAGCACACCCTCACTCAAATGGGGAGTCTGCAGATAAGCCCCAAATTTTATTCCTTCTGAAGCACCGAGGGCCCTTTTCTCTGGTTGGTGCCTGGGTAGTGCTTACGGGTCTCACAGGCTACCTATTCCTCTGGGTCATGGAAATTTTTCCAACATGGATGCTTGTGTCATCAAGCCACAAGGAGCCACAAGGAGTCTTTTGGCAAGAGGAAATCTAAGAGAAGAATTTAGCCATATGGGATGACATAAAATTTTCCATAGTCTGTGGGTTGGGAGCAAACCCCAGGTACTGTACACTGAGAAGAAGAGGATCAATGAGTTGAATATCAGAATGGGGGAGATCACCAACCATCTATCACAGCATACAAGAGGGTTCCTTATGCTATTATATCTTATGTATATGCTTGAGATTTTCCATGGTGAGAAAAAAACAATTATTTCTTAAAAACAAAACAAAAAAACAAAAACCTACCATATTTGGGTAGTAGCTTGAGAGATAGTACAATGGATAAGGCACTTAACTTGTACCTGGCTGACTTGGGTTTCATCTCTGGTACTGAATATGGTTCCCCCAAGCACTGTCAGAAGTGATTCTTGAGCATAGAGTGAAAAGTAAGCCCAGAACATCACAGGGTGAGGCCTAAAAAGCAACCCTTACAACCAAACCCCCCTTCCCAATTATCACTGTCACTATAACTGTCCTCCTGTTGTTTATTGATTTGCTCAAGCGGGCCCAGTAACATTGTGAGACTTGTTACTGTCTTTGGCATGTCGAATACGTCACAGGTAGCTTGCCAGACTTTGTGATGCAGGTGAGATACTCTTGGTAGCTTGCCGGGCTCTCCGAGAGGGGCGGAGGAAACTGAACTCGGGTTGGCCATGTTGGTTGCATGCAAGGCAAACACCCTAACTGCTGTGCTATTGCTCCAGCTCCCCAATTATCATATTTAGGGCTTTTTTTGTAGTAAACACATTTCTAGATCAGCTTAAATATAGTTAAGTACAAGTAAACTTTTGAGTTAACTACAAGTATCAATTCTACAATTTTGTGTCCTTGAGGCTGATACTTATTTCTCTATTCAATAAACATGTCTCAAATTCTAAGAAACAGTGGTTGAAGTGCCATGTGGACAATCAGACATATCTCTCTCTGTTCTTGAGAAAGAAATTGTCCATCTTTTTTTTTGTTTTTTTATTTTTATTTTAATTTTAATTTTTTTTATTAGTGAAACACCATGAGGTACAGTTGTAGATTTACAATTTTTTGTGCTTGGGTTTCGATTATACAATGATCAGATAACCATCCCTTCACCAGTGCCCATTTTCCACCACCATGGATAATATCCCCCCCACCCCCATCTCCCCATCCCCCCCTGCCTCTGTGGCAGGGCAATCCCCTGTGTTCTCTCTCTCCTTTTGGGTGTTGTGGTCTGCAAAAGAGGCATTGAGTGGCAAACATGTTCAGTCCATAGTCTACTTTCGACATGCATCTCCCCTCCTGGGAGGGTCCTCCAAACACCCTTTATTTGGTGCTCCCTTCTCTATCTGAGCTGCCCTTTCCTCTAGAATGCCCGGCTGGCCTCTAAGTTATGGAGTAATCCTCCTGGTGCTGATCTCAGCTATTCTTGGGTATTAATCTCATATTTTGTTACTTTATATCCCCCAGATGAATGCAATCTTTCTATGTCTATCCCTCTCTTTCTGACTCAAAATTGTCCATCTTACAGTAGATACAAAGGCCAGGAGGATTGCCCAATAGCTGGAAGCCTGCCTCATGAGTGGAGGGGAGAAGGCAGATGGAATAGAGGAGGGATCACTAAGAAAATGATGGTTGGAGGAATCAGTCAGGATGGGAGATGTGTGCTGAAAGTAGATAATGGACCAAACATGATGACCTCTCAGTGTCTGTATAACCATAATGCCCAAAAGTAGAGAGAGAGTATGGGGAATATTGTCTGTCATGGAGGCAGGGGGAGGGTGGAGAAGGGGGGTATACTGGGGAGATTGGTGGTGGGGAATGTGCACTGGTGGAGGGATGGGTGTTTGACCATTGTGTGATTGTAACCCAAACAGAAAAGCTAGTAACTATGTCACAGTGAGTCAATAAAATTAAAAAAAAAAAAGAAATTATCCATCTATCTCATATGTGGAACATAAAGAAATTTTAGGGGAATATTAAATACTCAAAAGCAATAGAAAAGATGAGCAGGAGAACTGGTCTTCAGTAGGAAGCTTGCCACTCGGTTAGGGGTGGAGGGAAAAATTAGGAAAGGGAATTCTGTGACAATGGTGTAGGGGAAGTGCCTGCCCCAGGGCAGGATCGAGGGTAGAAGGCAAATGGACACTGGTGGAGGAATTGGTACTGGAACACTGTATGTCTGAAACTCAACAATGAATAACTATGTAATTGTGTAATTGATAGTGATTCAATACAATTTTTCAAAATAACAGAAAAATAAATTTTCCAGAGGGAAACATGAAGTTGAGCTGGGGTGTTGGAACATGACTGAAACCCAATCATGAACAACTTTGTAACTGTGTATTTCACTATGATTCAATAAAAAAAAAAGAAACTGAATTGATGGTTACTATGCATTTTCAAGTACTGTGACATAACTACATTTAGGGTACTCTGAAAATCCTGAGAATAATTACGAAACCATCTTCTATTTAAATCTTAGTTTCCCATACAGAGTATTACATACTATGCATTTAAAAAATCAAAACACATCCCTGGAAGAAGTAGTGTTAGTATTATTACAGTTCCCTTTTTATAACAATACTAACATGGAGGCTAAAGTTTTGATAATGAGCTATAGCAAGTTAAATACGGTTGAAAATCTTTTACCAATCTTCCCATCTCAAGATGGAATCTTGAATTAGGGCTGCTGTTAGAACTTCTTTGGATCAAATAGCGTGGCAGAAATAATGTTATAGACTTTTTACTCGACCTTTAGACATGTGCAGTACCTGTGTACTTTTGTGTACATCTTGGAATCCATTAACCATGTGAGAAGTCTACTGACCCTCTCAGGAGCTGCCACTTGGATAAGGCACAGTAGGTGTGTTTGATAACTCAACCTTGATCCCAGCCACCGTGTACATTGTAAGCTACCATATTTTGGTGTGGTGTGCTCTATAGTAATAAATAATGAAAACATAAGTTGTAGCAAAATCATTGACAAATTCTAGTTCTCACTGAGGGTTTTCTCACAGATCTTCACACTTAAACTCTGTGCCACATGCACAAAATCAGGGGTTGAAAGTAGATCATTTTCTTGTCTGTGAAGTGATCTACCAAAGAAACCTTTTGGTTTCGTTCTACCTTCCCAACAATCCTGGGACAATGCAAAAGCATCAGATCTCTGATACTCTCCAAGCCCCAATCTATTGGTAAATCCCTCAATTCCTCAGTGAAGAAGAGTGAGCTCTAATTTTCAAGCTAAATGAGGGACTGAAAATTCAAGGGATTTGGATTAGCACCAGATAAGCAACAGTTCTTTTGACACCCGGGAATGAGTCTGAACATACTCACCTGAAGACATAAGCAGGACAGCCTGAAGGAGAGCAACTTCAGTGTCATCGAGGTTGAATGATGACAGAGACATGCCCAGGTCAAATATGGCATCTGACACGACCCCAAGACCCCCGTTTTTTAGCTGGCCCCGTGTCACTGCCATTTCCCCGTTCAGGGTTAAAGTCTCACTTTCTGGGTCATAGCGCACAGCGGCACGAAGGGACATGATCTCCATGCAGCAGCCTTTGAGGAGGATGATCTGATCTTCACATGGCAGCTGAAAAGAACCAGCCGGCATCAGCAAAGAGCAAGTGGGCAAGCGGCATCCAGGAACAACACACAGCCTCTTCATTGCAACAGAAACAATGTTCTGTGGTTAATACTGATCCTGCATGCTGAGCCCACGGGTTTTCCATTTCTATTTGGCTGCAGATACTTGACAACCATTTTTTGTACTCCAGATTGTTTATAATCTTCACCGACTTTAAGCACAGTAATTTACATTTCTTTGATGACAGAGATTCCCCATGGGTAATATTATGGTCATGGATAAAATTATTAATAATTCTCTTATTCTGGGGCTAGTAATGTAACTCCACTTGAAAGAAGAATTTATCTTAAACTTAATAACATCTTTGTTTTATAGTCCCAATTGTCAACAACTTCTCTATTTAGTTTTCTAGCAACTGGGCTTCTCTGTGATTTTTGAAACAAACTTGCTCCTTGAATATCTTAAAAATGCACAAGAACTAAAAGTTTGTTTATAAACATATGCTATCCAAGAGACTCAATGATGTAAAAGCTGGGCCCAAGGTTACCTAGTGAGTTAAGGGCGTTAAGGGCAGGGGAATCCAGAGCTCTTAACTCTTTGAATTGTGCTGTCTGTACCCAGGCACCAGAATTTCTATACAGTCTTTGCCAGAGTTACAATCTCATTTAAAAACAATATGGCTGTTCTGTTAAGTAGGATCAGCGCTAATACAATAATATTAATAATAAACTTAAAAGAATTTGTTAGACAAAATAATAAAAAAACACAGTTTTATTTGGTGGCAAAGGAGAATATTTAATTAAATGTCATTATCAAAAAAGTTGGAAAGACTTTTGACACTTTGGGGGAAAAGTGGGGAATTTTGCTGAATTGGGTATTGTGCTAATTTTTTTTGGCTTTTTGCTCACTTTTTTTGACAGAAAAAATAAGTCGTTTGAAATTATATGGTAAGAGTGAAAGGTTAAATCAATGAAAACTATAAAATGCTTAGGGGTTACTCCTGGCTTTTCACTCAGGAATTACTCCTGGCGGTGCTGGGGGACCATATAGGATGGCGGGGATAGAACCTGGGTCAGCTGCATGCAAGGCAAATGCCCTACCCACTGTGCTATCGCTCCGGCCCCTATTGTGCTAATTTTTATGTAGGTCACCTTATATAATCTTCACAGAAAACTGTGAGGTCAATGTTTGAATTCTAATCTTATGCACACAAGTGGAAATCCAGAACTGAGAGATAGAATAACATGTGATGTGAGTCACATGAATATTTTGTGGATGAAGCTAGGCTTTCAGTAACAGATATCTTTTATACTGGGGTTTCATTAAAGCAGATATATATTCTTTTTGGGAAATGCTGTTGGCACTACTAGATGATTTAATGTAGGGCAATGTATGAAACTATAATGTCACTAAACTTTATTTAGAATCTTGAGCATTTTATAGTTTTCATTGATTTAACCTTTCACTCTTACCATATAATTTCAAACGACTTATTTTTTCTGTCAAAAAAAGTGAGTTTATATTTGCTTCTGAAATATGTATGAGTGAATTCCTTCCTTGTGTACTATGAAATATGATTGTGCTTTGCTTTCATTTATGTTGTATTCTGATCAGCTGCCTCCTTGGTCTCCTGTCTCCAAAGCATGGTAGGAAAGAGCAAACCTAAATGTGGATGTATCCTCCACAAATAAGATGTAGAACTCTGGCCCTGGGTGGAGCTGCCTTAAATCTAGGGTGGTGGTTTTGACGTCAGCCCTAGGCTTATAAACACTCATCTCTTACCCACTTAGATTCTTGGAGAATCTGCACTTCCCCTAAGCTCCCAGGTAGAGCTCAGGCTGCTGGCGGGGACCCTACTCAAGAACCAATGGCTGGAATAATAGCCAAGAGGAAGTAAGAATCAGATGAAACCATTAATTTTTCTCAAACTCTGTAACAGAGTAGACAAACTCAGCCTGGCTTCCTCTATGTAGTGAAGTTTGATTACAGGTAGAGAAAAGAAGTTTTCTTTCTTTCTTTCTTTCTTTCTTTCTTTCTTTCTTTTTTTAAAAACTTACTGTCATTAATTCACATTGAAATAAAAGCTCAATTATCATTTGTAAAAGATCACCTAGAGCTTCAAAACTAGGCCAGATGCCTTTGCCTTTAAGAAGGGTTTGTAGGATCCTGGTGAGATTTGTTTCAACATGTGGGCAAACAATCTCTGAGTCACCTGCCAAAATACTTTCATCCTGAGAATGCTCCATGAAGGGCATGACAGACAGAGATGTGGGGATCCTCCCACAGACTCTGCCTGTCTCCTCAGGAGAGCATCACTCAGTTTGATTGGCAGAGATGACAGTGGTTTCCACAGTAGAAAGGGTTCTTCTACGGGTGTTTGAGGGCAGCTCTGCCAGCAATGATTTTAAGTCTTAGTGGGCTCTGGGTGTCTATCCACCTGGCTTGGTAAGTGGGCACTGGATTTCAGTAGAAGAGTACCATGAGCACAGTTGAAATTACAGGAGTATTTAATCCCCCTTGGCAGAGCCCCCTGACTCTGGCAACCACTTAAGATCTCCAGCCTATGCCATAGTTAGCTTAGTGGCTTACAATGTTCATTTCCCTCTTCAGCGTTCTAAAAAGAGTGTGGAATTAGGTCCCCAGCAGGCTGCCAGAATTGGAAAAGTAGGAATCTCTGCTACATAAGTGGTCCCTGTGTTTTTTTTTTAATTGTAATTTGGAGATGATAAAATATCAGGTTCGAAAGAGACCTGGATTCATGACTTTGAAACAGATTAACCTTCTCAAGGAAACATGCCACAAGTGCCATTTAATGAGTTTCATATAGGCCCCTCTCCTTTGCCACAGACAGTAGTGCCTGGTGCGATTGTTACTGGTGGTGGGTGTGGCTTTTTCATTTTCTTTAACAGAGAAAATGCTTCTTAGTGGTTGCTTTACATGGGTTCCACACATATCCAAGACAGAGAGAGAGAGAGAGAGACAGAGACAGAGACAGAGAGACAGAGACAGAGAGAGACAGAGATAGACAGAGAAACCTAGAATAGTGCCTAGGAAACAAAACAAAAACTACCCAACAAAGATGATACCCAGAGTGAGAGAAATGAAACCGCAGCCCAAACCAGAGAGGGTGGACACTGTTTCCACCCCTTCTTTCTAGAGGAAAGTTTGGAAACACACATGGAAAGTCTTCAAAAGTGTATATGCTTTGGTCCTAAAATTCCACTTTTAGGATTTGTCTTTAGCAAAAGTCAGTTGGGGTCATATTACACATACATATTATTTGGGGGAAAAAAAAGAGTAAAGTCGACTCTAAAATGTCAGTGTTTATCTTGTGATGTTACCATGAACCACGCCTTAGGCTATATAATTTTTAGTGACTATGGATTATTTTAGTATCTTTCAAAACTTAAATATACAAGTTAATTAAAAAAACAAGATGGTCAGGGGCTGGGAAGTGACTCAGTGGTAGAACGCTTGCCTTGTATATGTATGAGGCCCTGGGTTCAATTTCAGCTCTAAATAAAAGGGCAGGGCTGGAGAGATAGTACATTGCGAAAGGTACTGGTCTTGCGTGAGGCTGACCCAGATTTGACCCAAAGCACTATAGTCTCCTGAGCATTGCCTAATAGAGCAAAACTGAAATTTAAAAAAAAGAGAAAGAAGAAAAAAGGTGGTCAGAGGCTTAGAAAGTTCCAGATCAAATACAGATGTGTCCCTATTTCTTCCCTGGGCCTCACCAGCTTTCGCTGGAATGGGGTGTGAGCATTTTTGCTGCAAGGCTGCCAACTGGTACTTCTGCTGTCGGTCCCTCAGCACAGTGAGATGGGATCAGGGCGAGGCACACACGCTCTCTCTGCAAAAGGTGGGGAGGAGATGGCTCCCATCTTACGCCACTGCCCTCCCCAGGGAAGGCTGCAGCAGAGACCTCCTTCAGGACCTGCGGTCTGCTCTAACTCTGGCTCCTAGTACCTCAATAGCAAAGGCAAACATGAGTTGGCAGCCGAGGCAGGACAGAGGCCTCCAAGGGCTGCAAACCCAGCTTGGCACTCGGAGTGATTCCATATTCACTACCCCCAGCGCTGCCTATGCTGGAGGACCCAGCAGGGCTTGGCTCTCTTTAGTAGGTGTCTCTCTGGTTCCCTTGGACACTTAAGAGCAATAGATTTGACTCTAAGGAGCTTTTCACTGAGCCTGGCAAGCTACCCGTGATGTATTCGATATGCCAAACACAGTAACAACAAAGGTCTCCAATGGAGACGTTACTGGGCCCGCTGGAGCAAATCGATGAACAATGGGAGGACAGTGACAGTGACAGATTTCCTTTTAAAATCTTTTTGGCATTAGAGCCACATTTGGTAGTCCTCAGGGCTCACTTCTGGCTCGAGGGACCACATATGTACTGGGACTCTAATCCAGACTGGCCACATGCAAGGCAATACCCTATCCACTATGCTATCTGTCTGGCCCCTGGTGAGCTTTCCAAAACCACAGTAAATATAATCAATTCCACTGATTCAAAAAAGGAAGGTTAGAGGCAGGATGGCAACTTAATAAGTTAATAAATAACAGTGGCACCAAATGGCTAAACTTTATAGAGTAGTGATGACATAGGTACCATCCAAGAATATTATTTATTTTATTCTGCTTCAATTTCCCAACAGCTGTAAGAGGTAGATAAAGTGTCCCATTTATGTGTGTGTGTGTGTGTGTGTGTGTGTGTGTGTGTGTGTGGTGCTGGGGAGCTAGCTCAGGGTCTCACATATGAAAGGTAGACACTCTACCACTAAGCAACATCCCCAATTGGAGTCCATTTATAAAGATGAGATATTGAGCTTGTCCAGGATTCTGGACCATACAGAGAACTGCTGAAGTTAGGGATGAAACGTTCTAAAGGGAATGGATCAGCTCTTCAGGGAGCCCTGAAGAATGCACAAAAACGGTGAATTTATAAGAAAAGAGAAAAATCCAAGAAGATATTAAAAATATTGTTCTATGAGGGTAAATTAACCTATTTTTGAGGATAGAGAAATAATCACAGTGTCTTGTTACTAAGATGTAGAGTGAAAAAACACATGGACTTAGATTCAAACCAGAGCCCATGTTGGGTTACTTTTATAATTTATTAATTTTTACAAATATGGGTTATACTTTGTTGGAGTACATGGAGCTTAGGTTTATTGGAATCGCACTCATCACAGTGCTCCCGAGTCACTCCCATTATTTTGTCTGCTTGTAACCACTTCTACGCTCTCTTCCCCAACCAATTTGTAAGGTCTCATCCTTCTTAGACACTGAAGCTGTACTGTAAGTTAATACTGCCTTTCTCCTCTCCTTATGTCTTTGAGCAGTTTACTTTAATGCAATGTCCTTTTGTGTGAACCTGAACAGAGAATGGCTGCATTCCCCTGCTGAAGAGCTCCTGACAGAAGTTGTGATGCTCCTGTTCCAGTGCTCCCTGCCTGATCCAGTGCTTCCTGAAGTTCATAGGACTCTTTGACAATTGTTTCTCTGGACTCATTGCTGGGACTCATTGCTGTGACCACTACTGCTGATGTTGCAAAAACAACTCTTTAAATTGTGATCTGGACACCTCATTTCTTCAAGAAGCGACTAAATGACTCTGATTACCCTTGAACAGTGCAGGACTATTGGACACTTTACAACAAGCACTGCTCTGGGTTCAGGGGCGTACTGAAGTTTTACTACTACTACATATGAGACTGTTTTGTGATTGGAATTGTTCCTTTGTCTATTTCAAATTTTTGTGTTTTTGTAAACAGAAAAGGGTGAGATGTTGGAGTACACGGAGCTTAGGTTTATCGGAATCGCACTCATCACAGTGCTCCCGAGTCACTCCCATTACTTTGTCTGCTTGTAACCACTTCTATGCTCTCTTCCCCAACCAATTTGTAAGGTCTCATCCTTCTTAGACACTGAAGCTGTACTGTAAGTTAATATTGCCTTTCTCCTCCTTATGTCTTTTGAGCAGTTTACCTTAATGCAATGTCCTTTTGTATAGATACAGGAAGACAATTGATTAATATTATGCTTTATAACTTAGGATTTAATTGGCTTTGAATATTATTCACTCCTGGGCATCTGCCTTCTCAGCTGAAGCCTCAGTTGCCCTCACTTCCTAGCACTCCAAGGGCAGGGTCCCGACGTGGGACTGGATGGAACCAGGGCAAGCCTGTAAGTTATGTGCTACCCTGGCATCGCGATGGGCCAGGCCAAGGTGCCACGATTCTTAACTATAAGTTAAGAGGTTGATCATAGGCAAATGATATCATGATCCAATAGTAACGACGAGACTAGGGCCCTGCTGCTAGGAATAGGAAAGATATCTGGCCTGAGCACTGCAGTCTGAGATCGAGATGGCCCTAGGAGAGCAATTCTATAAGCTCAAAGTATTTCTTACTGTGTCCATACAAAATGATTAATATTATGTATGCTTATATGTTGGTTGGACAAGGAGAGGAGAAACACGTCCTAGAAGCAGTTTCTTGTGTGTCCTGACTAGCTTGGATGAGACTGCTTTCTCCCCTTCAAACTGTCTTCAGTAAATGATTTCAGTATATTGAGACAGTTTCCCCTTTCTCTCAGAACCCTAGCTGGTCTTAGATATGCAGATCTCAGGTGGTAGCCAGGATTGATCTTTGGGATGTGGATTCCCAGCTCTAGCCAGGCTGGTCTTTGGGATGCAAATCAAGGTGCTTGCAGCTTGTGAAAGTGCTTGTGAAAGGTTTCAGCTTGGCTTTGTATCTTCTTTCCGGAGGCCAGTATTACTGGCCTGCGGATGTAAGGAAACAATGTGAATATAAGGAAACAATGTATGGTTTGCCGCTTCAATGTTCTTTCTGTAACTCCTTTTGATGACATTGCTATATTGCGCCCTTTAGAGGTACTATGATCTATATAAGGGAGATTTCAGGGCTCTCTGGGGGGGCACGTGCATCAGAGAACCTGGGAAGATGGGGCTGAGGACAGAAGCTGAGAGAACAAAGGCGCACGTGCTTGAGGATTCCTGAGCCCTCCATGACATATATCTCTTCCATGTAATAAACGGCTGCTAAGACCAACCAGCTTGGCCTCGTTTCCTTCCTTGGCCTGACCATCGCCATCGACTTCCCTGGAGTGGGGAAGCGGCCTGACCACCGGCCTTTTTATTTTTTGTGTGTTTACACAATACTTGACAGTGTCTGGGGGTGAGGGGTCACCGCCTATGGTGCATAGGGCATCATGCAGTATCAGGGATTAAATCTGAGGTTTCTGCATGAGCTTCAACCCTTGGATCGCTTTTCCAGTCCACGTTTGAGTAAACTAATCTCTTTGATCTTCGTTACCCAGCTAGAAAATTGGGCTAATAAAACCTGCCCTGAAGATTGTTAAAAGGATGGATCATGTGGCCTAAATGGAGCATAGGTACTCAGACACTGTAGGAGCTGAAAGAATAGAAGCATTGCTATCACAATCTCCCTGTGCCTGGAGCTGGGACAATGTCTGGGCTCCGCACCTAGACTGGCTAATAAATAATGACTGATGAGAAAAGGTGAAGAAAACAACATGAAACAGGCATTTCTTTCCTATGAAGGAGTCCCTAAGAGTTAACATTAAATAAGCATATGAACTTTTATAGTATTTAATTTGTATAGCAATATTATATATCTTATAAAATAATAAGTTAATAAATTCTTTGTGAACATTCAGTATTCCTAAAAATTGATGGAACTCTAATAAAAAATAATGAAGAAGGAAATGTAATTTCCTCACCTCACAAAACATAGGCAACTTTTTGGCAAAATCCACCACTCTGGTAATTGCTGGTGTGATGATTTTTGTAAAATGGCTGAAGGCTTCCAAGTCAACCTTGCCACCTTCTGGGGCATTTACTATGGGTGCTTGTCCAATATCTTCTGGCTGAGGAGAAGAAAGAAGAGAGACTTATGTGAAGAAGGTGATGAGATCTTTATTGATCATACTTCCTAGGTGTCAGAAAATCTCTATAGAAAGGACACACTGGTTTTCAGACTGCTTTTTATTTGCCCCTAAAAGTTTAAAAACCTTAGGCATCATGATTTGCAGTATTAACTATGGGTTTCATGAATACAACATTCCAGCACCAGACCCTCCACCAGTGTCCACTTCCTCCATCAATGTCCCAGTGTCATTAGCCGTCTCCCCCTCCTCCCATAAGCCCTCATGCCCAGTTTCTTGCTGCAGTGAGCTTCTCACACTGACTTTTATTTATTTTTAGTCTTTTGGTGACCACACCAGTGATGCTCAAGGCTCACTCCTGGCTCTGCCCTCAAGGACCACACTAGGGTTTGGGGGACCATATATGGTGCCAGGGATCAAACCTGCGTTGGCTGCATGCAACACAAGAGCCCTATCGGCTCTGGCCCCTGACACTGGTTTCTAACAAACTCTGGTCTTTACATGTTTTAGTTCTTAGCAGAGAGCAGAGGCCATGTCTGGGTCATTGCTCTGACAGTGCTCAGTGAGAATGTTCAGAGGGTGGAGGAGATAGAGATAGATAGATAGATAGAGAGAGAGACAGAGACAGAGACAGAGACAGAAACACCAGGGATTTGGATTCTGCATCCTAAAGTTCACAAGGGCTGATGACCAATGGTGATGGGTGATGACCAATGTCTGAGGGGTGTCCCTCTCTGGTGTTTGTGCGGGAATGGAGCAGGAGATGTCCTATTGAAAACTACCCTGAGGATATATGCTGACTTCTGACCAGCTGCAGAGGCTTTAAGTCCATTAGAGTGGACCGGGTTGAGAGGGTCTTTTGGGCAGCTTAAAGGGAATGAAACAGTGCAAACTGGCTTCCTGCAGGATGGAATGGCCTATAGGCAATGGATCTGTGTGAACTGGCCTATTGCAGGGTGGAATGGAGGACTCAGAATTGTTCAGTGTCCCAATGCACCTCTGTGCTTTTACTTGCCTGAGAACAATTCACAGTTTCGCTGCTGCTCAAAAGCTAATGTGAGTGCATGGGCACCATCCGAAGACTTGGTTTTCATCTATTTGCTTACTTTGGGTTGAAGCAACCACATTTCTGACATAATGCAAATTTGGGGTGTGCAACATCTCAGCTTTTCAGCAGGCTTCAGGGTGCAGAAGCAAACCTGGAGTGGGTGCCTGGCCCACCCCATGGTCAGGCTCGTGTGCATAGGCTCCCAGTGTCCACAGGAGTCATCGGGCTCCTCAGCCAGCATTCACAGACCCCCAGGTGGACTCCTGTGGCTGCCCGTGCCTCCTGCCAACACACTCCTCTCATCACCCTCTCCTGTTGCTGAGATAATAATGACAACTCTTTATCAGTGAGCCTCTTGGTGTGCCTGCCTCAGTGGGTTGTCACAAAATCCCTTGTAAGTAGATGATGAGCAAACATGGGCTCAGGAGCTCCTGGGCTAACCCAGATGTCCACAGCACTCCTCTAGGTGCTCTGCATCTCCCTTAGACCCCACACACTTTTGACCAAGGGGACAGTTTTTACTCCCCTTCATACTGTCCCTGGATGAAGACTGCAGTCTCTCCAACAACAGTTTTCCTGGAATTTGTGGTCAATGGGATTAGAGGCTCAGGCTCTGCTCCATGGGAGTCAGTTGCCCGGAGTCTTGTTGAGCAGACAAACAAGTTATCCTGCAGCTGAGAGGGTTCTGAGGGCAGGTGGAAAGAGGTAGGGGCTGAGAGCACCTTGAGAAGGACTAAATGGTTCACTGGCAGAGAGGGGAGGATGACACCTGTGACAGAACTTTGGTCAGACTCTGACATCCCTAGATGTGGGCACTTCTGGAAGCACAGTGGTTACTTGGGATTATGCACCTAAGACTTTCTGATCCAGTTGGTCAGGGGTAGCCAGGAAACCTGCATTTCTAACACATTCCAGGTTATGGCAATGTGTCTGGAACACACCAGAGAGCTGTTAGAATAGAACTCACCATGTCAGTTCAGTTACTGTGGTTCTTCCCTCAGGTCCCCCCCCCCCTCTCTTTTATAGGATATAAAGCTAAAGATGACTCTTTCACTCTCATTGCCAGGGCACCGGGCTCAACAGGAACAGCCTGGACCTTCCAGGGGTGTGGTAAGGGTTGTGGTTACAACCTATATTACATAATAGACTCTGGCAGCACTGAACCTTTTTTGGATTATCCAGTAGGTCCTTCTGTTTATTTTGCATTTTTGTTGCTTGTTGTAGGGGCAGTGAGTGGAAGGGAAGAAACCTCATTTCTGTCATGTTGTAATATCAGTGATGATGTTTTGGGGCAACTGTTGGCATGGCAAGCTCATGGAAGGGTACTGGTCTGCTCTCTTTCTGGGCAGATGGAATTGATGGAATAAACCACACAAATAGTTTCCTTGTCTCTCTATTTCTCTCTCTCTCTCACACAGACTGAGCCAAAGAAAAAGGGACACTTGCTCCTATTTTGGGCACTGCTAACCCCAACCCCTAAATCCTGGCTATTTCAACAGGTCTTCAAAATTGCTCTTATCCTGAAAATGAGGCTCATCTCACTTGCCTTGTTTCTTTTACAACCCTGTTATGAACCTAACAAAACAAATGCTAGCCCATATATGAAAAGGTGGGATTTCTATGTATAACACACATGAAAAGATATGGAGAGACATTGAGTCTATATATGAACATTTAAAAAAAACAAATTAACATAAAAATTATACTAGAATAATAGAATAAGATGTAGCAATGAGGTTTTGTCTTAGATAAACCCAAACTTTTTTTTTTGCTTTTTGGGTCACGCCTGATGATGTACAGGGGTTACTCCTGGCTCATACACTCAGGTATTACTCCTGGCGGTGCTCGGGGGACCATGCAGGATGCTGGGAATCGAACCCGGGTTGGCTGCATGCAAAGCAAACACCCTACCCACTGTGCTATCACTCCAGCCCCCCCCAACTTTTTTTTGAATGCTAATAGAATCTGATTATAGTTAGATGACATTTTGTGTCCTTTAAAATCCTGGCAGGTAAATTCCTGAGTGCAGAGTCAGGAATAACCCCTGAGCATCACTGGGTATGACCCAAAAAGTAAAAAAAAATCCTGGCAGGTGAGAACAGATTAAAAAAAAACTGTGGTACATCTACACAATGGAATACTATGCAGCTGTTAAGAAAGATGAAGCTGGGGCTGGAGCGATAGCACAGCAGGTAGGGCATTTGTTTTGCACGCGGACAACCCGAGTTCAATTCCCAGCATCCCATATGGTCTCCCAAGCGCTGCTAGGAGTAATTTCTGAGTGCATGAGCAATGAGTAATTCCTGTGCATTGCCGGGTGTGACCCAAAAAGCAAAAATAAATTTAATAAATAAAATAAAAACGTAATAAAAAGAAATTTATTTTATATAAAAAAAAGAAAGATGAAGCCATGAAATTTGCTTATAAGTGGATGGACATGAAGAGTACCATGCTAAGTGAAATGAGTCAGAAAGAGAGAGGTCAAACAGAATTTCATTTATGGAATATAAAATAACATAGCATGGCAAAGCCTGTCAAGCTACCCGTGATGTACTGGATATGCCAAACACAGTAACAACAAATCTCATGATGGAGATGTTACTGGGCCCCCTAGAGCAAATCGATGAACAATGGGAGGACAGTGATAGTGAAAATAACCTAATTGACTAACACACAAGGACAGTAGACACAAGGGCCAGGAAAATTGGTCCACGGCTGGAAGCCTGCTCCATGAGCTGGGGGAGAAGGCAGCTGGGATGGAGAAGGAATCACTAAGTCAATGATGGTTGGAGGGATTGCTTGGGTTGGGAGAAGTGTGCTAAAAGTAGATAAAGGACCAAACATGACGGCCTCTCATATCTGTATTGATGTTAATTTCCATCCATTCCAAAGAGTACACAGAAATGGCAAATAGTACTAAGAAATAGATGCATAACACTGCTAATCATCAAGAAAATGCAAATAAAAACTATAATGAGCTGTTACTTCATACCTGTTGGAATGATTAGCATCAAGTGGACAATAATTGTGAGGAAATGAACAGAAAATCCTAATCCAGTTACTCTGGGTAACTATATGAAAACTCCTTAAAAAGTAAAAAATAAATCTACCACAGCACTGTAGCACAGTTCTCCCGTTGTTCATTGATTTGCTCGAGCGGGCACCAGTAATGTCTCCATTGTGAGACTTGTGGTTACTGTATTTGGCATATTGAATATGCCACAGGGAGCTTGCCAGGCTCTACTGAGTGGGTGGGATACTCTCAGTAGCTTGCCGGGTTCTCTGAGAGGGATGGAGAAATCAAAGCCAGGTCAGCCGCGTGCAAGGCAAACACCCTATCTGCTGTGCTATCGCTTCAGCCCAAATCTACCATACTCTCCAGAGTTCACTTTCTTTTTACACACCCAAAGGAAATAAAACTAGGATTCCTGTGAAATATCTCACCCCTTGTTTATCACAATTATTCACAATAATCAAGACATGAATCTAACCCAAATGCCCATCAATGAATGAGTGGACAGAAGAGATGTGCTGTTAGGGATCTGGAGATAGTACATTGGTGAAGCACATGCCTAGCTTGATTCCTTGCACTACATTGTCCACTGAACACTGATGGATATGGCCCTCAGCACCATTTGGATATCCAATCCTGGGTAGTAGCACATCCTGGTCCCTTACAGTCCCTTACATTAAAACAATGGCTCAGTTGGCTGAGAATCTGTGGTGGGATCTGAGACCTCCTGAGGAACACTGGAGAGCCTCCACGTAAAATAGATGTGCTATGTAGACACTGTGAGGTATCATTTATCCTCAGAAAAAGGACATCCTGTCAATTGTGACAATGTGGATCGATCTTGAAGGCACATTATGCTAAGTGAGATAAGTTAGAGGAAGATAAAATCTGTTTATCACTGAAAAAGGCAAACCCGTGAAA